GAGGTAACCCAGACTCAGAAAGACAAATATGGTATGTACTCACTCATAGGAGGATACTAGATGTGGAACAAGGATGACTGGATTGCTACTCACATCACCAGTGAGGCTACCTGTAAATCATGTTAGGATATTTAAATGAGAATTTTGAGTTTGGAATCATGAGGTAAATTTCATCATGAAAATATTATAATTTAAAAAGAAATTACACCAGAAGTGTAGCAGGAAAGGTTAGTGTGATTGAGATGATAGATCACAATTGATGCCATCAAGGGAGCAGAAAATGACAGCTCTTGATTCACCAACTCTAGAAATCTAACAATATTCAGATTAAAAATATATCATGAATATTCCAAAACTCATGGATGATGGAGAGATAGCTCCCAGGACCACAGAATTGAGAAGATCTCTAACAATGATGAGGAATGAGTCTTTTGAACTACTTTGTCCTTTATGTACTTTCTCAAAAATTTTCCTTCACAGAAGTTATACAGGCTCATGTTTTTACACTAAGAGTGATAAGCTAGAGGCTGATAGATACTTCCTCCATCATTTGGAAGCTCCTTTTATGTGAAATATATGGACACTAGTATAGCATAGCTACTTGTTTATTTCTATTTATAATAGATTTGGACTCATAATGGTCAGCCCATGAATCTTGTTCATTTATCTGTGTCCACCTTGTGGATATTCCTGAGGAATGAGACAACAACTTTTCTCTGTATTCACAACTATGTAGACTCCAAGGTATACTACCAGTCAGGTCTGCTGGACATCTTGCAACACTGGCTACCCAGCAGTCATAGACCCTAGCCAGGGACTATTCTTCATTGCAGAGTGTTTTGAGGCCCCGTAAAGCAGCAGGAAGTACATCCAGGAACAGCATCTGATCTCAAAATACAGGAAGGATTCCAGCTGAAATACAGAAGCTGACACCAAAGTCAGCCTATCCAGGGTTACAACAAGTTGACCTGACTACTATCACCAGTCATACTAAATAGTAAAAGTCTATTTACCAACACTGAACTTCTCTACATGGCAGAGGCATTCATTATTATTAGTGCACAGGCATCCAAGTGTAAGAGCATAAGAATTAAAATCAGAGATGTAAAACATTACAGAGAACAATGCTGAATGTGAGACAAAAGAAAGAGAAACCTATAAACCCCATGATGAATAATTCCCAGAGTGTTTTTAATGAAGTTACAGAAGTATAAGAAACCACCAACAAAACCTGGGCAGAATCTGCTGCTCATGGACAGGCCAGAACAGTCAAAAGAACAGGTGAAGACCACAGCAGCATGAAGAGCTGCCCTCCACCACATGTAGCTCTCTAACTCCATAGGTTCAGTTTCCCAAGACTAAATTATGCTGCCACTGTTCTTGACCTACCATCTGCAAAACTTTCAATCATCATATATGGGAAAAGCATCATTTTCCATGATAAAGTCAAATTCGACTAATATCTGTCTCCAGATCCAGAAATACTAGAAAGACATTTCCATCCCAATAACTTCAACTACACCGATGTAAAAACAGGAAATAAATAATTTCACACTAGTAAAGGCAAACAATGGAAGAACATGTATGTTCATGTACTTGCCTACATACACACACAGACACACACACACACACACACACAGAGAGACAGAGAGAGAGACAGAGAGAGAGACAGACAGACAGATAGACAGAGACAGAGAGACAGAGACTACCCCTACCACCACCAAAATAACAGGAATTAACAATCATTGGTCATTAATATTTTTCAATATCAATGGATACAATTCCTCAATAAAAAGATCCAGACTAGCAGAATAGTGTGAAAACAGGACCCATCCTACTGTTGCATACAAGAAACACCCCTAATATCAAAGGTAAATATCACCTCATTATCTCACGTTCAAAAATTTCTAAGCAAATGGATATAAGAAGCAGGCTGGGTTAGCTATTCTAGTATCTAATAAAATAGACTTCTGTGGTGATTTGAAAGGCAATGACCTGAAAGGGATTGGGCCATTGGGAGGAGTGGCCTTGTTGGGGTTGCTGTGGTCTTGTTGGAGGAAACTAAACAGAGAAATACTGGAGCTAACAGACATGATGTCCCAAATGAACATAATAGCTATCTACATCACATATGACCCAAATGCTAAAGGATATACCTTCTTCTCAGCAACTCATGATTTTTTTCAAAAATTGACCACATACTCTTTCACAGATACAAGTTTCTACATATATAAGAAAATTGAAATAACCCCTGTATTATATCAGACCACTACAAATTGAAGAAGGAATTCTAGGAAACAGAAACAAAAGAAAGCCTACAAACTCATAGAAAGTTAACAACCCTATACAGAATGAAAAGTGGGCCAAGACCAAAGTAAGAAAGAAATGAAAAACATTACAGAGTTCAATGAAAATGAATGGATTGTACCCAAACCAATGGGACACAATGAGAACAGTGCTAAGAGAAAAGTTTGTAACTTTACGTGCCTACATATATAAATTTAAGAGATCTCATATTAGCAACTTAACCACATACCTGAAAGATCTAGAACAAAAAAAATAGCAAACATGTCTAAGACATCAGGAAACAATCTAACTAAGGGCTGAAATCAACAAAGGAGAAACAAAGCAAATAATATAAAGAATCAATAAAATGAAGAGTTCATTCTTTGAGAAAATCAACAGAATGGACACCACCTTGCTGTGGGATGTTCTGTATGCTGTGAATGTGTGTTGCTCCAATTAGATGATAAATAAATGCTGATTGGCCAGTAGCTAGGCAGGACATATAGGTGGAATAAGCAGAGAAAGAGAAATCTGGGAAGAGGAAGGCTGGGTCAGGAGATGACAGCCTGCAGTCTGGGAAGCAGCATGTAATGTCACACAGGTAAAGTCACAGAGCACATGGTGACAAAATGATTCACAGAAATGGGCTGAGTTTAAGTGATTATTTTATAATCT